GACAGCTCTTTGAATTTGTTTGAAGTTTTTATCTATTGCGTTTTCATAACTGAAAATAACCTCCTTAGGGTGTGTAAAAAAAAGAGTATAAATTAACACCGACAATATTGCCTTTCTGCATGAGAGTGCACACGTGATAAAAAGTGCACGTGTATAAAGGTTTGAAGTTTGTTGTAGACAAGGTGTTTTCTATACATTTGTATTGTGTATTGTAATTGCATGACAACTGTGATATGGTTATGCAATAGTTTTGTTAAAATGCTTGACAACATAATTATTAACTGTTACTATAATTTGTTGTGTAACCGAAATGAAGCATTAGGTTTTATAATTATGTATAATTAGCACTCATCACGTGCAAAGGTTGTTAAGATTGTGTTTCTAATTACTGTAATCATATAACACAGCTAATTACCTGCAATTATAAATACACATGTCTCTTTGAAGTCAATCAGTAATTAATGTGCAATAGGTGACATAAATGGACTGTGTCAGATGTGGGATCAGGATGTTTTTTGATGTATGTGGTCAAACGTTAATTTCGATGATTAAGACGTTTAAACATATCATTGCACTTTCGTTGTTGTTATAATTAGCACATTTTCAACAGGTGTCCTGTTTAGATAGAAAACGCTTAATTGATGTCAGCTGTGTGTACAAGTTAATTGCTTATATAACACTTTATTATCTCCTTTACACGGATTAACAAAGCAAATAAGCCCTAATTTGTCAAATGCATGTGCACAACAATTAAAAATATCAAAGATCACAACTTAGAAAATCACGCAAATTATGCAGTAATCTAGCTGCAATAATTTAGCCTCACGCGGAGCTATTTATTACTTTAGACATGTCCGTGAATAACTTACTCGGTAATTAACAGTGCAATCTCATTATGTTTGAGAATTCCTTTTCATGTGGAAAATCACATGATATCATTTATTTTATTCCATATCAGAAAATTAGAATAAAAAACCATGCCATGCAAATTAAGACGCCTTTGTTATCGAAATAACTTATCCTTGAATGATGAAAGTAAAACCTTCGAGTTGTTCAAGTGAAAGTGATCAAGTCGATTCGGTAAATGACAAGTAGTGTACCGAAAACGCCCACAGCATCGAGGTAAACCTGAATTTTCACAGGTAATTGATAATAAAGAAACGAAATGTTCCCTGGGTAGAAAATACTGACAATTACAAACGTCGTTTTAAATTCGTAGTTAGTTTAAGCTAGCGGAGAAATCAGACAACACCAGGTTTTGTGGTGAGTATAACAAAAAGAACTCGATGAAGTTAGAGATGTTATCGAATCCTCTGTTGTGAATGATTGTTAAAGGAGTGGAGTGAGCTTTGCCGTGTTTTCTAGCCGATCCATTGTTTATGAATGTGTTCAGCCTAGCAGATTGGTCACCAATTTCCCCCAATTTACTAGCCTATTACACCGTACATAATAAGGTTCGACACGAAATACGTCCTGGCTATACGCCTATATGAAATACTGAGACTTTTTAAAACTCGTGTAAACTAATCGTGAATAGACTGAACTCCAAACAGCCTTATCAGGAAAGGCCATCGCTAGTTCTGCCGAGAGTAACACGTATTTATGTATATATGTATCGGCAGTCCCGCGACACCGGTGACAGGGCTAACACAGTACCCGAGACCTGCTCTGGTGACCGGCTTGTAAATCGACTTAAAACGCATACTCTAATGTTACAAATTGTTTTTTCTATGAGAATCTGCCAAATTATGAGAGTCTCTCAAGTTGTATTCGTTTCTTTTTTTTATTGTAGGGCGGGAGCAGTATTTATTTTAAGGGCGATAATTGGGGTGGTTTTTTTTAGTTTTATTTATTTTACTTTCATCAGATATAAAATGGATGTGTGTTAGTTTTATAAATCAATTTCCTGTGCTATTGATTTTCAAGATATATTTGTATTTTGATATTTACATTACTACACAATAAAATGATACATATGTCTCTAGATAGGATACAGTTATTATTTCGAAAAAAATACCTTGTAAATTAATAAATAATTAAAACTTAATCTGCCTGCGGTTTATTGATTTATTCTATAGAAAATTATCAAAGCATTTAATTTGATATCAGGCTGAGGTGCTTTGCTATAATCTGGTATCAATCAGTATAATGATTATACTGTTAATCATACTTTTATAATTACATATCGTGATGTAAATTTCAGTATGTATATATTTTGTTTCTTATTTCCTTTTTATATTAACATAGCTGAAAAGTTCTTAAATTATTGTTGTCAACTAGGTTTGTGAGACTCAGTTCTCTAGCTACTTTGTATATCCTTATCTCTACTAGAACCATTCCCGATTGATATACAATCGTTTGCCTCCGAATAATTACATTCTGTTAATAAATGTCATAATAAAACGTGTAATTTATTTATTTGAATACGAAACTAAAAGTTTACGTCAGTAATATAATACTACACGTGCTTTTTCATATCGCAATCAGCAAGCGTCTGTCGAATATTGACTTTTTGTGCTTTGACATAACGTCGGGCATTGAAAGCGTTCTAGAGAGCTATGTTTGTTCCAATTTTCAACAAGACACACTTTTTCAGCTCTTTATCGATACCACAACACTAGCACGAAGCGTTGGAAGTTGGTATTATGTGAAAATTATCACAGCGCTGATAATTAAATTAGCGGTGTGGCGTCGGTGTATCGGGCAGGACGACGGTTTTTTAGGCTCCTACAGGAACTTCCGAGCGCCATAGCTACTATAAATTGTGTCGAAGTTATATGTTCGCACCATCGTCTTCGTGATGCATACAATATAACTAAGAGAGAATAAATGGAACACAATAAAGGCTAGATAAACTCGTGGCTGTGCTTACTTATGACGCATGCAGTAGCTATGTTCATATTTTGAGAAATTGTTAATGTTATTTTTCTATTTTTACTTTTATAGTACATTCCAAGCTAAAAAAAACAATTAGAAATATAAATAAATATGTAACATTTATTAATCATATTCTATCATTCTAGAAATACATTTCCACAATACATTAGCTCACATCTTTGTAAAATACGTTGTGTTACATGTTTCATATCAGTGTAGCTATCTCGAACATACAGGTATCAAATATTACACAAACGATTAAATTACACATATTTTTGAGTAACTCATTTTTTTGCTATTGTCCAAATCATTTTAATTTTACGATTTGGACATTTTTCTTTGTGTTCGGTATTTCCAGTGAAATTATGTTATTGCTTTCAGACCTCAGAGCCTAAATATTTTCAATTAGGTGTCCTTGTGTTAAAAACCTGAATGGTGCTCAATGCAATTTTCTCATATAGTCCCTTTGAAAGCAAATAATATGTTCGATATCTTACTAAAGTGGTATAGACATGTCAATTAGGCACTATTCTACCGCTAACGATCAGAGGTCCAGCCCAGCTGTATTGTTCGAGACTAGGTGGCCACCACACATAGGTGGTCTACCACAGGTTTAAACTAATACTTCATATTCGTAATGACTACAATTTGATAAAAATGTTACTGTTTTGCTGTTTATTATTGTTTAGTCATTCCTTTCAATGGTTGAATTAATTCCATAAAATTATAAACCAACAACAAGTTTTAAAATGGTAGAAAAACGGTCAATGACTTCAAAAATGTTACAAAGAAAGTTGATCATTACTCATATACTGGCATAAACTCTAATTTTGACAATTAATGAAATAACATAATTAAGTTAAACAATATTGTTGTCCATATTAGAATATGGCGATATCGTGTTTTAGCATCATATCATCATATTCTGATATTGAAATAATACTATTTATAAAACCACTCCTCTAGACCGATATTAAAAAACGTATTCTGTCAACAGAGTAATGTTCTATTAACAAAATCGAACTTTACAGCAGAGATTTTTCCGTCAGCGTTTAACACCATTATTTTATCTTACATGTGCCACCTGTCAGTAAAGTGTTACTTATTTTAATTTTGATCTGGTTACCATATATCATTACAGGACCCGTACTCCGTTTATCAACTGTTGTCTTTGTACTTATCAGCACTTGGCAGGTATCGATTTCTGTCGTTTATTTCTATATGCAATGTACACGTTTCCAAGCAGTCTGGTATATGTTTATTTCATTTTTTCATCATGTATTGATTACTGACTACCCATTACTGTGCATTATTTATTATCTCCTCAGCATCCTAGACATACCTTATACCTTGTTGATCAAACCACACAATGCATGGCTGATATTGTGTATATATTGGTATATTACATCCTAAACTCAGGCTAATTTTCATCCCTGGTATATGTTTTCAGTAAGTTCAACAGCCAAAATGTGAATTATTACAATTGATAATTTTATCAAACCGTTTTCAGATAGACCTATCTATTATTTGTGAATCATCGCACATGCCAGTTTATATTTGTAACAAAAATAGGAAAAGCAAGCAACATGTTAACACTGAAATGCTACCTTTTACAGGTAAACTAGCAATTATGTACAGGTAAGCCTTGTGACCAGACAACACCTTGACCATGTGTCTGCCCCACCACGTACATACATTTCATATAACCAGGTATTTCGTGGGGGGAAGGTTAGGTTAAAGTGAAGGAATGTTTCACGGAAGTTACAAAAAGAGGTTAAAATACATTTGATATAGAATGCGTTGCCTATATAGCCCGCGGTGAAGCTAAGACGTCTTTAAGTCTATGTAAACTGTGTGTTCTGTATGAAAACTAAGGCAATGATCGCTCTGAATCTCTTTATCAAGTGTGTACAATACACGGTATCTCACACACAGTGCTCTATACCTAGGTCAATATTGACTTAGAGAAAAAAAGCCAGTGTTTGTAAACTGCATCGGAAGTACACGTTATGACACCTAACTGTTAACATATAGCATTTTAACAGTTAATACACACAGAATTTTCGACTCTTCCATTTATATTTCTGATGTTATGAGTAAAGAGCAATTGTGATACAACTTACCTGAACTTATTGTAAAGAATAAGCTTCCACATATGACAGCCTGTAAAACACTTAGCCACGAGCACATGGCTGACAAGTAAACACTATTTTCTCTTTTGTAAATCCCAATAGGTTTTTTTGCTACGTGAGTATATACATATATATAAATATATGTGACTTGCACGGGGGTATACTGCCTGTCATACCATACTGCTGTCCGTACTAGTGACTATAGAGAGTCGGTTCTCCGCGGTATTCACTGCTCCACTGACTAGCGTACAGTGTTACAGCCCGGACCGTAACGCCAATTCTCGACTTGCCATTCTGATAACATCCTCGACCGGTGATTGGTCGTCGAGTTTTACCTAATAAACTTCAACAGAACCGAGTGTTTACTAATAATGTAGCCACGGTTAGATGATTCTGACGCCAGGCAGAAAACGCATCGCTTGAGTAACATAGCTATTTGTTATGTCTCAATCTGTCATAATGTATTTCAAAGTATGCCGGGTACTCAGATGATTTATAGTTTGCAATTTGAATAGGTAGACGTTTATTGAAAAAGATGTGCCAAGGGCATACTACGTATAATTGTATGAGAATAACTATTTTTTGTTCTGTTTCCAGAGAATATGATTGGCATTTATTGCAGAAACATTGTTTTGTTATTTTTATTGACCGTTTGGATAGTTACGTCGTCGACTGAGTATCTCTATAGAATAAACGTTGCTTGCGTCTATATGTGTCCATATTATCTTTGACATCAATATGCACGCGCTTGATACATTCCAGTCGTAAAATAGCAAACCAATAACACGTAAAAACCGAGCAGACGCACCGCACAGAGATTGACAGCTATCTATACCGAGAAACACGGAAACAAATCTGTTTTTGTAATATCGTTGCATTCATAGTCTTTTTAATGTAATACAAAAGTGTTTTGTAAAAATAAAATAATGCATTTATTCACATAAAGATTATTTCTCTATCTTGTTGAATTGAAAGCGCAACTATAAAAGACAACATTGTAGATAAATGGTTAAAATCGGAAGCATCTTCAGTAATCTCATATCGTCAGACTTTAAACTTTTACATAATATATCGCAATATGGTTTTACGATATATTTGTACAGTACAATATTTTTTATTGTGATTAAATCTGTCTGTTGTAATTTAGTGTGCTTGCCACTTCAAAATAATGGAAGTATTTTGTCAGTAAAGTCATAAAATACATTTTAGAAACGATCTGTGTTATTGTTTATAGATTATTGTTATTCATTTTTATGATGTTGCTTTGAAAAATCGTATGCAATACGTTTATAGAAAAAACTTGATATATTTCCGTATGTGCTTTAATTCACGAAGTTACGGTGTATGTTTTATTGAAAGAATGCTATTTTAACCTGCAAAGTAATGATATAGATTTAAAATTGCAAATGCTTCTCCTTGGAATATGATTTGAGAATTAATCTCTCGCGAAACTATACTGATTATCAGTGTTTAACCTTTTTTTATCGAATGAATTTGTTTCTGCCGTTTCTCAAATCAGGACGAAGAATAGAGCCACATACACGGGTATATATTTAATATGTTTCAACAATAAAAAAAACTTAGTCAGTAATTGATTTCTGTTTTTACTAAGTATGACGACAATTTCGAGATTTTCTAAAGCGCTAACATCCGGGCCAACAAGAGCGATTTATATAAGTTGAAATAACTTGTTTCATGATTGTTGTAAAACAAATTAAGTTTATATTAAAACGTCGTCGTTAGAGAGACGAAAAACAGACATTACAAACATAAAGTCTGTTGATTCAAGTCATCAAGATGCATGCTTATACCTAACCTTTGACAATGGCATATGCAGTTAACTTGTACGGTGCTGTCGATTATAGCTTCAATTTATTTGAATGTAATGATAAATATTAATAATAATTCGAGGTCGTCTCTAAGCGGGTCACAAATTATTATCCGTGGTTATAGGGCCTTTGCAACCAGCCAACATCTTTCTCAACACCCTGGGGAGCATACAGCCGGTGCTGTCATTTCGGCAAATCAACAATTCTAGCACTGCCAAACCACGTACTCATTTACAGCTGAGTAGACAGGAACAATCGGAGAAAAGTATCCTGTTCAAAGAAACAACATAGTGCCGTGCCGTGACTCGAACCCGCAACCCTTCGGTCACGAGTCCGCCGTGCTACCATATTGGTTTGGTTTGGTTTGATTTTGATTAACGTCCTATTAACAGCTCAAGTCATTTAAGGACATGCCTCCATGTATGTAGTGTATGTGTGCTTGTGAGTGTGTATGCAGGAGACAGGGTATATTGATGTGCTTGCCTCCTTGTAATAGCTCGGATCTGATGCCGACTTTATAGTGCTATCTCACTGAAATGCCATGCCGAAGACGCGAAGCACAGCATTCCACCCGGTCTCATTATAATGACAACGGGTAAACCAGTGGTTGCCATTCCCCTTAATGCTGAACGATAAGCAGGGAATAACAACTACCATCTTTAAGGACTTGGTATATCCCGGCCTGGGGACAGAACCCATTACCTTCCTCACTTGGGAGAGGTGTTCCCAAACAAGGCGCTAGGAAATAAAAAGGTAGTTAGAAGTAGAAAGAAAAATAATTATCCCAAATATTTCAATGGGCGAGTAGATTTATTTCGGTCGCTTTTGTGTCTCCAAATAGAGTTAACCAAAGCAAATCCCCCATTCTGCAGGGGTTCTAACATTAGTCGCCTCCTACGACACATGCAGTGGGTAACAACAGGTGTATTCTTTTCCCGATCCCCGACCTGAAGGGGGTCCTACAATTAGACTACCGTGCCTCCATTTTTTCCTCATTTGTTACAATAAAACCAACGGAACATTTTGACACAGAAAAACCTCTAGGACTATGCAAATGGATTACCCTAGTCGCCTCTTACTATCATGATCTATGATTCAACAGTCTTTCTTATATCTAAGATGCATGTAATTGATATCTTCCAATATTTACTTCAATCTCCATTAACATAGTATCGTATATATAACATTATAGCTGTGTACTTTAACAATTACAGAAGGAGGTCAATAACCAATAGCAAAAACAACAGCACAATATACAGGCGAATGTAAGGGAGGTCACTCGTCTTCTTCTTAAAAATTAACAGGGATCACTTAAAACTTGTGTCTAGGATCCTGCGATGTAAGTATTGTGATGAGATTTTCTTATCTGATTGATTTGTATTTATTCTATCAATGTTGTACACATAATCCCGCTGACTTAGCGGACAATGAAAGAAGAATTGATCCTTATCATCACTCACAATGTGATATTCTCACAACGGCTTCCTTTTCATACATCCGGTATATTTGTTGATTTGTTGATTTTCTATTAATTTTGTTTACAGTGTTTCCAAACATTCTTCCATCACGTTTCCATTAAGTCTAGTAGGTTCAATTGCACTTGTTGCTCTTGTTTGTGTTAGGTAAGTGACGTTTATCAACTGATTGCCTCCACTCGTTAGAAAATTGTCTCCAGGGGGATTTTAAGGATTCTAATCTTTAATAATGGCACTTTCCGGTCAACATCAGAACGGTTATTGGTAAACGTACAGATTATACATTTCTAATCCATCTTCGTTTCTAATTCTTTTTTCATTTCATTTTCTCTAAAAATGAGGACATACATTCGTTCATGGTGTCATGTAGACAAAATCTCATCTCAGCCCGATTTCCCAGGGGGAGTATTACCTGGTTGATCTTTAAAAGAAAACAAATGGTTGAGTATTTTCCAGCTGAACGTTATATCATTAATTCGCTGACATCTCGTAAAACGCGTGTAGCGACGATAGAAGCCCATAGCCTGAACATGTCATAAATCGTGGGGAAATGTCGCCGGCAGTTAATATTCCTGGGTTCACAGTACTGCAGGATGATCTTGAGTACAATTAGGTCGCAATTGACTCACCAATAAAAGCAGATTACCGTCAATAAACCACGGTGATGGGCTTTCAGTGTGTTCCTTGGGTACTCAGAAAACTCGCGAGAACGAGATCTGTGGGAGTATGTCACCCACAATCCCCATACAGTGTACACTTCCGGCGCTATTATAACACCGTAACGACAGGAGCGGTGTGTGGTTTTATATAAGACGCAACTGTTATAATGTAATTACTTTGTTTTAACTCGCTACCTATATGTTTGATTATTAAGAAGCAATCGATATCATTAAATTGTATTCTCACATTACAAAAAGTTGAACTACCGATTTTACCTTATTTAGTAGTAGCCGTGAAGGGTCTCGAGAAAATACAAACCGTTTTAATCCTACGTTTCAAGCCTCTGTTTATTCCGAATGACACAAGAAGATGATCATAGGGACAAATATTCCGTTACTTCTCACGATACATGTAGTGTGCGGCAATGGATATATACTGAAACCATAGATTTCGTTTTATTAACGTCCTTTAAATCAGTAATATAACCACTGTTTAATAATACTACGAATTCCAAATTTGTCATCTGCTCCGCGACAATTTGTATATGTTGTCTACGTCTTTTCAGGTTGTCCCCTATATAACATGATTAAGGAGGTTACAAATAAATGCACGTATTTCACAATGAAATATTTTAAGTAACATGTATATTTATTATTAAGCTATTGTTGAAATGGTATCATATTTGCCAAACGAGAAAACAAATTCCCATACACGTAACCAGGCTGTATATTCGTTGAATATGTCGGGTACCTGTCTTACCTTTTACTATGTCGAGTACCTGTCTTACCTTTTACTATGTCGATTACCTGTCTTACCTTTTACTATGCTCGTGTCACATTACATACACAATACTATACCGTATGGTTGTTTAATTCGCAGGTTTAGTATTTTGTTTCTAGGACTTGTTCTCGGGGGGGGGGGGGGGGGGGGGGGTATATTCGCGAATAACAATTTCTGTAAGTGAATTCCCTTAATCTGTGTAAATAGTTCCCAGTGCTATTTGACTTAAATTTTATGTCGTCTGCTGAGTTGTTGACAAGTATAAATGAGCCTTATGAACTTCAAAATATTCCTTAGTTGTTTCGATGTTGTGTAGAGTCCATGGTTGAGAACGGTTTCCGGACCATACTGTCGAGATAAGTAGACCACGTCTATTGAGCAGTAAGAATAGAAGTTGAGAGAACTGGACATGTTCTAAACAGTTCACGAGCTACAAATTTTCAGGAATTTTTATCGATTCGCCAAAATAGCTAAATCAAAACCCTCGTGAATATTACCAACTATAGAGTAATAAATAATAGCATACCAAACACTTCTATTACACCATTGACGTTATGCAATG